TTCAAGGAAAGAAAGATTTGTATTGCAATTAATCCCAAGAATTCAAGATTCATGTGCATTGACTAGGAATTACAAGAAAGTTTAGCCCTCCATATGGATGGGCTTCACAAATGAGAGAAAGAAATGCAAGAACGTAAACATCATTAATGTAAACTTAACAAAAATCAAAAGAGAAATTGAAAATTAAAACCTATAGAGGACCCTTGGCTGTTACCCAAGACTCCAATGTCGTAAGCAATTATCCCAATTTGGCAAAGGAAAAATGTGTAAAGTGTCAAAAGTCCCGTACCCTAATTCCTAAATCTATTTATAGTGGATGACATGTCACTAAAGTGTCCACTTTTGCCTTTGAAAGTGTCCACTTTGGGCCTTGAAAGTGTCCACGCGCAGAATGGAAGGAATGCTGCTTCTCTGGAGTTGCTACTATTTGTGCTGAAAGTAGCTACTTTGGTGCGCGTAGCTACTTTGAGAGCCCATAGTAACCACGCGCAGGAAGGCTTCAAAATCAGCGTCCTGGAACTTCTGAAGTTGCCACTTTTGGTCTTGAAAGTAGCTACTTTGGATGCGCGTAGCCACTTTGAGAGCCCATAGTGACCACGCGCATCATGCTTCAAAATTGGCGTCCCTGGAGCTTCTGGAGTTGCCACTTTTGCTCCTCAAAGTGGCTACTTTGGGACCTTTAATGCCCAGGCTTGCTGTAGTTGCTACTTTTGCTCCTCAAAGTGGCTACTTTGTGGGCAACTTTCATCCAAGGACCAAGATTTCTCAAATTTAACTTGGGCATTCTGCAAAATCATCAAGATAATTAAAATTGCAATCTATATCTATGTAATTAAATGCAAATTAACCAAAAATTAATAAACCTATGATATTTATTCAAAATGTGATTTCTATATTATTTTCACTATCTAAGTCCATTTTTTCTATCAAGAAGCATAAAAAAGGCAAGTAAAAATATAATAAAAAGTGGATTCATCAATACACACAGATACAATGTATACAATAACAGAGCCCTTAGGAAAGGCATAGTTAGGAATCCAGTCAAGAAATGAGTGTGACACCATGTGACTCATTCACTCTTAGAAAGAGTATGTACACAACCATGCATGTTGTTCACCATCATACGTTTTTCCCAGATATTTATATCGTCTTCGAACTCTATGCCCCCAGTGTATCTCTGTAACTATTTACACTAGACTTAAATAACACTTTGTGCCAATCTATATTCTCTATTCATCTTATCCTCATCATACAGTCTCAAGATCATGCTTAATAAAATACTTACAGACTAAGTCCATTTTAATCGCAGCCTCAGATTGTAGTTCCAATCACCAAGTCATGCTTAATAACACCATTAATCAGTCATCATCATCCAACATCTTTCAAATATATACCAATACTCATTCAGACATTTCCAAACTCACAAGTATACTAGTACATACAAACACTTTTATGTACCTCACATAATTTCATCAATTTATCATATTCATACAAACCAAACAATCAAATGGATATCTCATTCATTCTCACCACAAATAGGGATGAGAATCGGTTAGGCTGGAGGTTAAACGGGTCAGGCCTATTACATAAAACTAGAGTCTGAGCCTAGGCCTATGACTTGGCATAGACCAAATTTTTAGACTTAGCTTGATTCCACCTAGCACCAAGTATTAGCTATCTGAGTAAATTCAAAATGACGTAAACCACCTTCATAAACAAACCACGTATCAATAAAGCTAAACTCAAATCTTATTGTAGAGAAAATACAAGGAAAAAGGAGAGATTTATATACTAATGATGAAACCCAAACAAAGAGCAAGTTAAATGTATGTTGTCACGACATGAAAGCATATTTCACAGACTTGTCACAACATGAAAGCATGTTTCACAGACTTACATGAGATACAAAAATAAAATGTTGCTTGTTTACCATGGAGTGTTGTGCGAGAATGCGACATTGAATTTGTAAAATTGATACAAATTAAAAGAGAAAAACAATTTCCTACATCAATTAACAGTAAAACTGATGTAAAAACTTATGTATTTTACATATTTTACCACCTTTTTTTACATTAATTGTTCTATAAATAAATGTAAAAAATTCTTTTAACATTAGTTTCTTTTAAAAATAATGTAGCAGATACTTTTTACATTAATTATGATATAATTGATGTAAAAAATTTTCATCAATTTAAAAATTGTCTCTACCTTTTTTTTAAAATGATTTTTCTTTATAATTGACATAAATCTTATTATATAATGTTATTTTTGCACTAATGCTTAAGCAAACAAATAATATTGACATTAGATATTATATGTGTCTTTTTATTGGAGATACTCTTATAAACAAATTATAATCCTAATTAATATAAGAAATTATTTTTCTTTTCAACTTAATAATTTTGTTTTATTTAAATTTAACATTTTTTAATTTTATTTTGTCTATTTGTAAATGTTGAATATTTTTTTAGAGTTCTTGTTTTCATCTTTACTGGTAACAAAATTGAACAAGTTTGAAAGAAATGATGTTTCTATACTATACATTTTTAAAGAATAAATTAAGTATAACAAATTCTTCGACATATATTGAGATAAGAACAATTTATGTTCTTTCGCATTTCCAAATACAAAATTTTATTTATTATTGAATTTGCTTCTCCAAATGAAATAATATAATTTTTTTCTTTTATTTGTATTGTTCTGATATTTTATCGTACTTAAATTAATTGTTTCAATTTTTTTAATTATTCATTAAAATATATTACTTAGTCTAATAAAAGTTCCATACTTCTACAAAAATTTAAAAAATAGACAAGATTCTATCTATTTGTTTTAACAAAATTTTGCTCGTGAAAATCGTCTATTCTTTAGATAATAATTTAATGTGGAACGGATCTCTAAAATTTACTTCTGAAAACAATTCAATATCGAACTACTCTCTAATATCCATTAACCATTTTTCAATCTTATTTCTGATGCACTTAGTCTTATTCTATTTATTTACACTAATCTCAACAATTTCTTTACTTTTAAAATCAACTAACAGCTTTCACTGCTTTAGCACGTCGATTTGCATGGAGACCATTAATGTTGAGACTTTGTCGGCAAAGATCTTTTTGTTCTTTTCTTGTCAGCAAAGCAGAATGGAATATATATAAAAATATAAAAGTAAAAATTTAAAAATATTTATATTTAGTTTAAATTTAAATATTTTATGAATATAATTAATTTTATGTTAGAATAAAAAAATTTACATTTAAATTTATATAAAATCTTATTTCTACAGAGCAGAGAGTAAATTACTATTTGATTTGTTCTTTTCCCGTCGGCAGATCTCAGAGTGGACCTGTGTATGTTGCGGCTGTGAGTTTACTGTTTAAGGCAAGTGTGTGTTTGCGGCGCATATATATATAATCAAATGAAATAATGGCATTTTAGTGATATTAAAAAATATTTTTTTTTGTTTGCGATACTAAAATATGTAGATTTAGAATTCATATTTATTTTTATATATTAATGTCTAAATGTAAAGTAAAAATCATATTTATAATATTTTATATTTATTTTCTTTTATATTTTTTATATAAGTTTTTCTTACATCATTTATCATATTTTATTTTATTTTTTATCTTTCTTTATTCCATCTATTTTACATGAAATGAAAGTTACCCTTTATCAAATTTAGCAATAGACACTAAATGAGCCAAACATATGATATGTATTAGCAGCGTGTATTCTGTATATATTTGAACGAATTTTCGATAAAGCTGATAAACTTTATTCAGTAACGGATCTTAGACCCTAAGTTAGTTTGTAAGGGGAAATCTAAAAAAAAAAACAAAAAAACAATTATTATAACACGATAATTCTTTTTGGATACATCAGATACTTTGCACCTATATAACATTCGCAGGACAATTATCATGACACGAGATAATTATATAAATATTAATTTTTAACATTTATTACATAAAAATATTATTAATTGTTTAAATAAATTGATTAATTGCTAAGCTTGAATTTTTAAAAAGTCAATGTGTTTTAAAAAATAAAATTTGAATAATCAGAATTTTGTACGATGTCCTGCAATTTTTTTAAATTTATAGTTTTTATTTATATATTATTAATAATACCTTTTAATTTAATTATAATACAAAATATGATTGAAAAAATTATAAAATACATCTTAGTTTTATTTTCTTACATTTTAATTTTATAATTTAACTATACATAATTTTAAAATTTATATATTATATTAATTAATCAAGTTGATTGAATCTCATATTTAATCTCTCTATGTATCTAATAGATAGATATGTCAATTGTATCTTATATGTTTTGTTTTGAAGGAATTAAATAAAATAAAATAAAAGTAAACACGTGACAATTAATTCAATGAACACTCCTAACCCATAGTTGAGTCATGATCCCATTTATCATTCACGGTATTGGTTCCATTAAAACCTATGGATATGATTTTTTATTATTATAAATTATTTAAATATCTTATAATTAACAATCTAAATAATGTGGACTGGCTCTAACGATATTAGACGCCACCAAAGATAAAAGAGGCTCCATTACTGAAGGTTTCATCATGAACTTAACATAAATAAAAATTGTCTTAAAACTTTAGTGAAACCTACACTTTCAAAATATGAATTAAATAATATTTAAAAATTATTTCACATGTTAACTTAGCAAAGTTATTATTCTTCAACAAATATGTGTGTAATAGGCCAAAATTGATGTTACATACCCAAAATGAGAAGGCTCATACGTGCCTACTAGGCTAATGCTTGTGCTTATCTTTGTCCTGTGCCAATCATTTTCTGCATTTTCTCATGTGCACAAGTAACATTAATAATTAATTTTCTTCTGCATGAACCAGCTCTCAAGGTTTTGCTATAAATAATGGTAGCTTGAGAGCTAAGGTGTCATGTCATTCACAACAATCTACCTCTACGATAACTATTATTAGCGTTTATCACTCTTTTCTAATGGCTCCCTCCAAGTTCACCTTAATCCAATCAAGTGGTGGAGAGGAAGTAATTAAAGAAGAGGAAAAACTATGCCAAGAAACCAAGGAGCTAATTCTCACCCTTCCAAGAGAAAAAGGTTGGAGAACACCTTATCTCTATTTATTCCAAGGCTTTTGGTGTCAACCTACAGAGATTGAAGCCATAAACACTTTTCAAAAACACTTTCAAGCAAAGGAGAGTGATGTTCTTGTGGCTACTGTGCCAAAATCAGGTACCACTTGGTTGAAAGCTCTTATATTTGCCACTTTGAATCGCCAGCATTTCTCCTCTTTCAACAAGAACCACCCTTTACTTAGTTCCAATCCCCATGATCTTGTACCCTTTTTTGAGTACACACTTTATGCTAAACATGACAAGGTTCCTAACCTATCCAACATGTCTGAGCCAAGACTTTTTGGTACACACATTCCTTTTGCGTCTTTGCCCAATTCAATTAAAGAGTGCAACTGTAAGATAGTCTACATTTGTAGGAACCCTTTTGACACTTTTGTCTCTTCTTGGTTTTTTGTCAACAAAATCAAACCAGACTCATCACCCATATTAACTCTTGAGGAAGCTTTTGAAATGTACTGTGAGGGGATAGTTGGGTTTGGCCCATTTTGGACTCACATGTTAGGTTATTGGAAGGAGAGTATTGAGAGACCAAGCAAGGTTCTATTCTTGAAGTACGAGAAACTCAAAGAGAATGTCAGTTTTCAGCTGAAAGGGGTGGCTGAGTTCTTGGGTTACCCTTTTACCTCAGAGGAAGAAAGTGGTGGTGTGATTGAAAACATAATTAAGCTATGTAGCTTTGAGAAGATGAAGGACTTGGAGATAAATAAGTCTGGAACATTTGGGAGGAACTTTGAAAATAGGTTCTTGTTTAGGAAGGGTGAAATAGGGGATTGGGTTAATCATCTTTCACCTTCAATGGTGGAGAAATTATCCCAAGTTATAGAAGACAAATTAGGTGGGTCTGGTTTGTCATTTAGAGTGAACTCTTAGGCAGCAATTAGTCACCAGGTACTGTGGTGTTAATTATATATGACTAAACGTTATATATAAATAACCTACTATACAAAGGTGAGCCTCACATTCTACTGTATATATGTGTGTGTGTGTTGCTTGTAGCTATTTATAACAACCATGCATATATTTTGTAATTGTGGTTTGCAAAATGAAAATGCTGTTGTTACATTTCCTTTCAAAAAATAAAGTGGTTTCCTTTGTTGCCAGAGACCACGTGGGTAGGGTAGCATGTGTAGAATTGAAAATCGATAAGGAAGAAAAAATTGTCTGTATATTTCTCACACTTTTTGTCAAATAATACAATGATCTATTTATAAAATAAAAAACTTAAATTCTATTAATAGCCATAAACTACAATCAAAACTCATTATAACCATTTATCAAAAAAACATAACTGCTAACTCTTAATCTTTTATTCTAACAAAAAACTGCTGAATTAAAACCAATTAAAACCGACATTTAAGTTTATTCAACAAAACTCCCTCGTAAACTTAAATGCTTCTGCCATCCTTCATGCCAATCAATTTCTTGCAATTATCAAAAAGTACCGTCGATAGCGGTTTCGTGAAAATATCTGCGACTTGATCTCGACTTGCCACGTGCACTAATTCCACATTTCCTTCCTTCACATGATCTCGAATGAAATGAAAGCGAATGTCAATGTGTTTACTTCTCTCATGATTCACTGGATTCTTTGCCAACTCAATTGCTGATTTATTGTCAACTCGTATCATAGTCGCATCAATTTGTTGTTGCTCCAATTTGTCCAACAGATTTCTAAGCCATATTGCATGACATACACACCCAGATGCTGCCACATATTCAGCTTCACATGTTGAGAGCGTCACGATTGGTTGCTTCTTTGAAAGCCAAGTAAAAGCTGTGTTACTCATAAAGAACACATACCCTGATGTACTTTTCCGATCGTCTAAGTCTCCGTACCAATCACTATCAGAGTACCCAATTAACTTGTAATCTTCCGCTTTCGAATAGAATAACCCTAGTGATACCGTTCCTTGGATATACCTTAGAATTCGCTTCAACGCCTTCCAATGTGAATAAACTGGCTCCTCCATGAACCGACTTACAATGCCAACACTTAACGAAAGGTCTGGTCTGGTGCATGTGAGATAGCGAAGACTTCCCACCAAACTTCGATATTTGCTCGCATCAACTCTTTCTCCTCCATCGAATTTAGAGAGTTTTGCACCCGGTTCCATCGGTGTTGATACAGGATTGCAATGTGTCATCTTGTATTTTTTCAAAATCTCCTTTGCATATGTTTCCTGTGACACAAAAATTCCCGTCTCTTCTTGTCTTACCTCCAGACCAAGGAAAAACTTCATCAAGCCCAAATCTGTCATCTCGAATTCCCGTGCCATTGTGCTCTTAAACTCTTGTATCATTTTACCATTGTTCCCCATAAAAATGAGGTCATCAACATAAAGAGCAACAAATAACATATTACCTCCAATCTTCTTCACGTAAAGGGCATGTTCATAGGGACATTGTTCAAACCCGTTCTCTTTGAAGTATGTATCAATGCGAGAATTCCATGCCCGCGGTGCTTGCTTCAACCCGTAAAGTGCCTTCTTCAATTTCAGCACCTTCTTCTCTTCTCCTCTTTTCATGTACCCGGGTGGTTGTTCGATGTAGATTTCTTCTTCAAGCACTCCATTCAAGAATGCTGACTTGACATCCATTTGGAATATCGGCCAATTGAATTGAGCTGCTTGTGAAATGAGCAATCGGATTGTCTCCATTCTTGTAACAGGAGCAAATACTTCATCATAGTCAATTCCCTCCTTTTGCTTGTATCCCTTTGCAACAAGTCGCGCCTTGTACCGTTCTATCTCGCCTTGAGCATTCATTTTTCTCTTGAACACCCACTTCACACCAATGGGCTGACTTCCTTTCGGTAACTCCGTTAACTCCCATGTGTTGTTGTGGCCAATTGCTCTAATCTCCTCGTCCATGGCAGTTTTCCATTTCTTGTCTCGCACCGCCTCTTCAAAGCTTATATTCTCGGAATCTGCCAAAAGACATACAATGTGTACCTCATTTGTCGAATCATACAAATCTTGCAAACTTCGCATTCTGGGTTGTTGCGGTTCATCTTCATCACTGGTAGTTTCAGGATTTGTCGGTGTGATTGTTGGTATAGCGGTTGATGATTCTCCATCTTCATTGATAACCTCCATTGAGTTACTCCAATCCCACTCATTTGCTTCATTAACTTGTACATCACGACTCACCACAACCTGCTTGCTTATTGGGTCTAGTAGCTTGTATCCTTTTGTTTTGTTGTCATACCCAATAAAAACATACCTTTTGCTTTTATCTTCAAGCTTCGTTCTTCGCTGATTCGGCACGTGTGCATAGGCCACACTACCAAATACTTTGAGATGAGAAACCGTTGGTTTTTGTCCACTCCATGCCTCTTGTGGTGTTTGATCATCTAGCTTCGCATGTGGACACCGATTTTGCACATAGATAGCGCATTGCACGGCTTCTGCCCAAAATTCTTTCGGCATCTTCTTGCTTTTAAGCATTGACCGAACCATATCAAGAACAGTCCGGTTCTTCCTCTCGGCCACACCGTTTTGTTGGGGAGAGTATGGTGCAGTTAGAAATCGCCTTATGCCTTGCACCTCACAATACTCCATGAAAGCTATTGAAGTATACTCGCCACCTCTATCAGATCGTACCGATTTGATGTGTCTACCGATTGCTTTTTCCACCACCACTTTAAACTTTTTGAACACCTCGAATGCCTCGGATTTTTCTTTCAGAAAATAAACCCAAGTTTTTCGTGAGAAATCATCAATAAAAGAAATAAAATATCTCTTACCGCTAAAAGATTCAGGAGTGATTGGTCCACATATGTTGGTATGAATCAATTCGAGAGGTTCCTTAGCACGATATTCTGCCTTCTTTTGAAATAAAGTTCTCGCATGCTTGCTGAGCACACATTCTTCACAAAATTTGTTCTCATAGTCCATGTCCGGTAGCCCGTGCACCATGTTCTTCTTTGCCAACTTGTTTAGACCACCATGATGTAGGTGACCAAAACGGAGATGCCACAGCAAAGCCTTGTCTTCTACGTTGACTCGCAGACATTTTTCTCGAACGCTTGTCAAATTCAGCTTAAACATGCAATTTCTCCCCATTTCAACTCGAGCAACCAAATGCCCGTGTTTATCTTTCAAGTGTAATATCCGGTCTTTCATAAATACCGAATAACCTTTCTCCATGAGTTGTCCCATACTCAAAATGTTGCTCTTGAGATCTGGTACGTAATATACATCTTGGATTAACCCAACCAAGCCATCCTTTTGTAAATAACAAACCGTACCTTGGCCTTTGACTTCAACCTTCGACGCATCTCCAAATGACACATGTCCAGTTTCAACCTTTTGTATCTCTTTGAATAGGTGCTTGTGCCCGCACATATGATTGCTTGCGCCCGTGTCAAGGTACCACACCGTGTTGTTATTGGTGTTGACTTCGTTATGTGCCATCAAGAGAAAACCTTCTTTTGCTTCCACATCTTTCGTGACTAAATTCGTTGTCTCTTCCACCTTTTTCTTGACCCGACATTCTTTCGCAAAATGCCCCACCTTTCCACAATTATAACACTTATCGGAGTTGCAGTCCTTCGCATAGTGACCATATTTGCCACACTTGTAGCACTCGATGTTGGAATAATTGGATCGACCGCCTCTCCAACGACCACGTCCTCTTCCACGCCAATTTTGCTGGTTTGAATGTTCTTTCTCCTCATAATATTCTTCTTGACCGTGACCTCTACCACCGCGACCATTTCCTCGACTTCCACGACCACGTCCTCTACCTCGAATGTTTTGAGAATAGAGTGCCTTCTCGTCTTTGATTGACGCCTTGGTTTGAAGTGCTTGTTCAAGTATCTCCTCCTTCTTCTTCTTCTTACGTTGTTCGTGTGCCTCGAGAGAACCAGCGAGCTCGTCGATCGTGAGCATTGATAGGTCTTTTGACTCTTCTATAGCACATACGACATTCTCAAAATTGTCAGTTAACGACCTCAAAATCTTCTCCACAACTCGTGCATCAGTTAAAACTTCTCCGTTTCGGTTGAGTTGGTTCACCACGGTTTGAACACGCGTGATGTAGTCAGAGACCCCTTCTGACTCTTTCATCTTCATGCTTTCCAACTCACCACGAAGAGTTTGAAGGCGGACTTGTTTAACCCGGTCAGCTCCTTTGTACACATTCGCCAAAATGTCCCACGCTTCTTTTGAAGTTGTTGCATTCGCAATCTTCTCAAAGCCCGACTCATCAACAGCTCGAAACAACAAGTACAAAGCTGCCTTATCTTTCGATCGCGTCTCTTTCAACGCCTTGTGTTGAGCTGCCGAATATCCCGTGGTAGTTTCTGGTTCTTTGAAACCTTCTTCTACCACCTCCCAACCATCTTGAGACCCAAGAAGAGCTTTCATTTGAATGCTCCAAATCTCATAGTTCACCTTCGTTAGTCAAGGCAGTGGCACATTATTGGTCACACTCGCCATAGGCTCTTGATACCAAATTGTAGAATTGAAAATCGATAGGGGAGAAAAAATTGTCTGTATATTTCTCACACTTTTTGTCAAATAATACAATGATCTATTTATAAAATAAAAAACTTAAATTCTATTAATAGCCATAAACTACAATCAAAACCCATTATAACCATTTATCAAAAAAACATAACTGCTAACTCTTGATCTTTTATTCTAACAAAAAACTGCTGAATTAAAACCAATTAAAACCGACATTTAAGTTTATTCAACAGCATGGACCTCAATTATTCCCTTTAAGAATCAGTTGTAAATTTCTCTGATTAATTCATGTTGTATCAAGCATGCTTATAGTTAATTGTGAGAAGTGGGTGTATCTTGTTCTGTGGTTTCGTGATGTTTTACATTAATAATATCTTTCGCACATTAATTGCATTCTCT